AAATATGTGGGCTATCCTCTATCAAAAAAACTGAATTTTCCTTTAAATACTATATATACTGTTTAGCAACTTCCGTGTTGTTTAAATATACCTAACCACACTCCAGATTATATATGTTTGCTAAACATATCTTTATGGTACATGGGCATCATTTCTAATTTTCCAATGATTAATTTATTTAACATTCATACATCACTTAATATGTGGATTAACCCCAATAAAAATCCTATTTTCTTGAGAAATGAAAGCATTTAAGGTCTCAAACCTAATATTCATACTATGACAGTGTATGGTGCATCTATGCATTAAAACAAAAATTTATTTTTAATAATTATTTTTGAAATACGTGGGTTATCCCCTATGAAAAAAACTGAATTTTCCTTTAAATACTATATATACTATTTACCATCTTTCGTGTTTTTTAAAAAATACGTAAACGCACTCCAAATTTTTATATATGTTTTCTAAACTTATCTTTATGGTACATGTGAATCATTTCAAATTTTCCAATGATTAATTTATTTAACATTCATATACCACTTAATATGTGGATTAACCCCTATAAAAATCCTATTTTCTGGAGAAACGGAAACATTTAAGGTCTCAAACTATTTAATATTAATACTATGTCAGTGTATGATGCAGTGATGCATTAAAACAAAAATTATATTTTTTATTATTTTTTTGAAATATGTGGCCTATCCTCTATAAAAAAAAACTGAATTTTCCTTTAAATAATATATATAATATTTAGCAACTTCCGTGTTGTTTAAATATACCTAACCACACTCCAAATTATATATGTTTGCTAAACATATCTTTATGGTACATGGGCATCATTTCAAATTTTCCAATGATTAATTTATTTAACATTCATATACCACTTAATATGTGGATTAACCCCAATAAAAATCCTATTTTCTTGAGAAATGGAAGCATTTAAGGTCTCAAACCTATTTAATATTCATACTATGGCGGTGTATGATGCATCTATGCATTGAAACAAAAAATTTATTTTTAATATTTTTTTTTTGAAATATGTGGACTATCCCTTATGAAAAAGCTGAATTTTCTTTTGAATACTATATATGCTATTTACCATCTTTCGTGTTGTTTTAAAAATACGTAAACGCACTCCAAATTTTTATATATGTTTTCTAACCTTATCTTTATGGTACATGTGAATCATTTCAAATTTTCCAATGATTAATTTATTTAACATTCATATACCACTTAATATGTGGATTAACCCAATAAAAATCGTATTTTGTTGAGAAACGGAAACATTTAAGGTCTCAAACCTATTTAATATTCATACTATGTCGGTGTATGATGCAGCTATGCTTTAAAACTAAAATTCCATTTCTTATAAAAACAATTGAAATATGTGGACTAACCCCTATGAAAAAGCTTAATTTTCCATTAAATACTATATATATTATTTACCATCTTTCGTGTTGTTTAAAAAATACCTAAACGCACTCGAAATTTTTATTTATGTTTTTTAACCTTATATTTATGGTACATGTGAATCAGTTTAAATTTTCAATGATCAATTTATTTAACATTCATATACCACTTAATATGTGGATTAACCCCAATAAAAATCATATTTTCTCGAGAAACGGAAACATTTAAGGTCTCAAACCTATTTAATATTGATACTATGTCAGTGTATGATGCAGCTATGCATTAAAACAAAAATTCTATTTTTTATAAATTTTTTTGAAATATGTGGGCTAACCCCTATGAAAAGCTGAATTTTCCGTTAAAAAATACCTAAACCCTCTCCAAATTTTTATATATGTTTGCTAAAGGTATCTTTATGGTACATGTGAATCATTTCAAATTTTCCAATGATTAATTTATTTAACATTCATATACCACTTAATATGTGGATTAACCTTAATAAAAAATCATATTTTCTGGAGAAACAGAAACATTGAAGGTCTCAAACCTATTTAATATTAATACTATGTTAGTGTATAATTCAGATATGTAATAAAACAAAAATACCATATTTTATAATTTATTTTGAAATATGTGGGCTACCTTTGAAAAACCTGAATTTTCGATAAATATTATATATACTATTTTAGCAACTTCCATGTTGTTTAAATATACCTAACCACACTCCAAATTTAATATATGTTTGCTAAACATATATTTATGGTACATGGGCATCATTTCTAATTTTCCAATGATTAATTTATTTAACATTCATACATCACTTAATATGTGGATTAACCCCAATAAAAATCCTATTTTCTTGAGAAATGGAAGCATTTAAGGTCTCAAACCTATTTAATATTAATACTATGTCAGTGTATGATGCAGCTATGCATTAAAACAAAAATTAATTTTTTTATAAAAAAAATTGAAATATGTGGGCTATCCTCTATCAAAAAAACTGAATTTTCCTTTAAATACTATATATACTATTTAGCAACTTCCGTGTTGTTTAAATATACCTAACCACACTCCAGATTATATATGTTTGCTAAACATATCTTTATGGTACATGGGCATCATTTCTAATTTTCCAATGATTAATTTATTTAACATTCATACATCACTTAATATGTGGATTAACCCCAATAAAAATCCTATTTTCTTGAGAAATGAAAGCATTTAAGGTCTCAAACCTATTTAATATTCATACTATGACAGTGTATGGTGCATCTATGCATCAAAACAAAAATTTTATTTTTAATAATTATTTTTGAAATATGTGGGTTATCCCCTATGAAAAAAGCTGAATTTTCCTTTAAATACTATATATACTATCTATCATCTTTCGTGTTTTTTAAAAAATACGTAAACGCACTCCAAATTTTTATACATGTTTTCTAAAATTATCTTTATGGTACATGTGAATCATTTCAAATTTTCCAATGATTAATTTATTTTACATTCATATACCACTTAATATGTGGATTAACCCCAATAAAAATCCTATTTTCTGGAGAAACAGAAACATTTAAGGTTTAAAACCTACTTAATATTAATAATATGTCAGTGTATGATGCAGATATACATTAAAACAAAAATTCTATTTTTTATAAATCTTTTCGAAATATTTGGGCTATCCCTTATGAAAAAAGCTAAATTGTCCTTTAAATACTATATAGACTATTTACCATCTTTCGTGTTGTTTAAAAAATACGTAAACGCACTCCAAATTTTTATATATGTTTTCTAACCTTATCTTTATGGTACATGTGAATCATTTCAAATTCTCCAATGATTAATTTATTTAACATTGATATACCACTTAATATGTGGATTAACCCCCAATAAAAATCCTATTTTCTGGAGAAACGGAAACATTTAAGGTCTCAAACCTATTTAATATTAATACTATGTCAGTGTATGATGCAGCTATGTACAAAAAGAAAAATACCATATTTTATAATTTATTTTGAAATATGTGGGCTAACCCCTATGAAAAACCTGAATTTTCGATAAATACTATATATACTACTTTAGCAACTTCCGTGTTGTTTAAATATACTAACCACACTCCAAATTATATATGTTTTCTAAACATATCTTTATGGTACATGGGCATCATTTCTAATTTTCCAATGATTAATTTATTTAACATTCATATACCACTTAATATGTGGATTACCCCCAATAAAAATCTTATTTTCTGGAGAAACGGAAACATTTAAGGTCTCAAACTTATTTAATATTAATACTATGTCAGTGTATGATGCAGCTATGTACTAAAACAAAAATACCATATTTTATTATTTATTTTGAAATATGTGGGCTAACCCCTATGAAAAACCTGAATTTTCGATAAATACTATATATACTATTTTAGCAACTTCCGTGTTGTTTAAATATACCTAACCACACTCCAAATTTTATATATGTTTGTTAAACATATCTTTATGGTACATGGGCATCATTTCTAATTTTCCAATGATTAATTTATTTAACATTCATACATCACTTAATATGTGGATTAACCCCAATTAAAATCGTATTTTGTTGAGAAATAGAAGCATTTAAGGTCTCAAACCTATTTAATAATCATACTATGGCGGTGTATGATGCATCTATGCATTAAAACAAAAATTTTATTTTTAATAATTTTTTTGAAATATGTGGGCTATCCCTTATGAAAAAAGCTGAATTTTCCTTTAAATACTATATATACTATTTACCATCTTTCGTGTGGTTTAAAAAATACGTAAACGCACTCCAAATTTTTATATATATTTTCTAAACTTATCTTTATGGTACGTGTGAATCATTTCAAATTTTCCAATGATTAATTTATTTAACATTCATATACCACTTAATATGTGGATTAACCCCAATAAAAATCCTATTTTCTGGAGAAACGGAAAAATTTAAGGTCTCAAACCTATTTAATATTAATACTATGTCAGTGTATGATGCAGCTATGCAATAAAACAAAAATTCTATTTTTTATAAAAAAAAATTGAAATATGTGGACTGTCCCCTATGAAAAAAAGCTGAATTTTCTGTTAAATACTATATATACTATTTATCATATTTCGTGTTGTTTAAAAAATACCTAAACCCACTCCAAATTTTTATATATGTTTGTGAAACTTGTCTTTATGGTACATGTGAATCATTTCAAATTTTCCAATGATTAATTTATTTAACATTGATATACCACTTAATATGTGGATTTACCCCAATAAAAATCTTATTTTCTAGAGAAACAAAAACATTTTAGGTCTCAAACCTATTTAATATTCATACTATGTCGGTGTATGATGCATCTATGCATTAAAACAAAATTTTCATTTTTTATAATTTTCTTGAAATATGAAGGCTTAACCCCTATGAAAAATGTTGAATTTTCTAGTTAAATACTATATATACTATTTACCTTATTTCGTGTTGTTTAAAAATATTTAAACGCACTCCAAATTTTTATATATAATTGCTAAACACTCCAAATTTTTATATATATTTGCTAAACTTCTCTTTATGATACATGTGAATCATTTTAAATTTTCCAATGATTAATTTATTTAGCATTCAAATACCACTTAATATGTGGATTATCACAATAAACACTCCATCTCTATTATTACCATCTTACTTTACTAAAAGTCTAAAACCGTTTGATCATTACATATATACAACACACAAGTTACAGAGCATTCCATTCTATTCTCAGCTCTTATAGAATCGAATGTAAAGTTGAACAGAGAAGAACGTAGCCTGCCTATCTTTTAAGATAGTTTTTGACTCTTGTCTGAAACTATGAGAGAATCATCTTCTTGATGCTCCTTTGCCAATAAAATGTAACAACGCACTCCAAAACTTGAGCAGAGCTTAGAAAAGTCCAAAGTTGCTTAGAAGCTTGTAAAGCTTTCTACGTCCCCATTGGATGTCGTTTTCTAAAAGCACGTGCGGGGTTTCAAGCGCCTCTGTCTCTAACCCCTGCTGCTGCTGATGATGATGTATCTCTTCCTCTGCTGCATTGTAATGCATCTTCTCTACACCTTTCACTGCTTCTTGCTCAGATTTCTCGAACACTGAAACAGCTTTTACTTTCCCTTTATCGTTCCTTTCTCCTTTGATTTCTTGCTTCTTATATACCTGCATAACATCTCTTCTCCATTAATTACATTAGCCAATAAGGGCATTTCTGGAAGATAATTCAACAATCTTTTCTTAGATAAGCGCATTCCTTAGATTTCAATACGATACGTTCTACCATGAAACTAGAGTTAAGGGAACTTTTTTATTAACTGGAGCAACAGTATACACTGTAAGGATGGACATGAGCAGATTTATTCTACATTGATACGTTAAATATGCAAAGATTTCATTACCATTTCCGTGTGAATAACATCAGCTCTAAGGGCAGGGCATTTCTATTCGTTGTGTTGGAAAGGCAGCCTAGAGTTTAGAAAAAAAACAGGAACCATCAGGTTCTCATTACCTCTGGGAACGTTTCGGCTATACCTTCGTTAATAACTTCCACTGCCACCTGCGTGATGGGTCCACTCACTTCTTCACTGTCCAAGTCAGATGGAAGAAACAATCCAGGGACCAAAACTGGACTTTCTTCCTCAGTAAACATGGCTTCCTCGGCCACATTTTCATCCTCACAAGCAGTCAGAGCTCCACTAGAGTTCTCCTCACTTACGTATCCTTCATTCTCTACATCTACAACTGACGATATTTGTTGTATAGGTGGAGGAAACACTTCAACCTCTTTTCCTGCACTGTTTGATGAAACACTGGTGACGCTTTGCTTTGGATGTGTGACATTTTCAGCAACCATGGGCATATCCAAGATAAAACAAGACTGCTTTTCCTCTTCCTCCATCATCATTTGGAGATCAGCATTTTCCCAGTCCTCACATATCTTGATAGTCTTGTTAGTCTCCCAGGTTTGAATAGCACGGTTTGGACCTGGTTGCCACAAGATCTCCCCAGTCTGCGCCTTGAGTATGAACTTGAATTCAACCAATCTTCCAACAGGCAGATCCTAAGTTGTAGAAAAAGGAAACCACATCATCATAGTAACACTTTATTTAACTGAAAATGTCAACAAGAAAAAAAGCAAGTAGAAATTCCAAGATAGATACCAGATCTAAGGTCCAAACATGACCATCTGCCCAGTTAAGTGGTAAAGCGTTCTCTGGATCCCAAAGGCCACCGCCAAAGACAGGATGGTCACCAAGGATGAAGAAATGTTCCCCAAAGACACACTCTTTCCGCAACTGGAACCTTACACGAACCCTTCTTCCAGGGGCTGCAATGATAATTAGTAGATTGATCACTCACTCAACATCTGCCAAATACTATTAGGAAGATAAAACTACTAAAAACTTACATTTCTCTACAGTTTCTTCATCTTCTATAATATTTGCCTATACAAAAATGTATGAAGACGGTTAGCTTACAAAAATGATTCGGCTGAGGGAAAAGGAGAGAACACAGATAACGCTGGAAGGTGAGGTTACCTTAATAGACGATGAACGAAGCGGAATCGGCTTAAGAATCCTGCCGTGAACAGAATCTAAACTCAAAGACTTGAGATGAAACGTTCTCCTAGGGAAAATCTCAGCGGCAGCTCCACCACGACGGAATATCTCTCCGGGAAAAGCTTCGAGAATGATCTTCGCGGAGGAGGAGGAGGAGGAGGAGGAGGAGGAGGGCGAAGAAGAGGTTAGATTTCCTCCAATCATCATCTTTCTTCTTCGGCAACAAGCGATCTTCGTTTGTCTGAATTGTAGTATGTGTACTGTGTGGAGCGAAAGTAAAGCATAAGCCCACGTGGCAATGTCCTAGCATTGGTATTCTCTTACACTCACATGTCGGTGCTCACCCGCATTTAATTCTTACCGTTAGATACACGCGATTGCTTCCCACGTGCTTCTAACCAACGTCTTGGATCGTGCGTAACCGGATATATTATCGAAGAGAAAATTAAAGATTATTATCAGTCCAATGAAATTCACAGAAAGCCCATACCCCATGGGCTAATTATTCGCAAATAGCAAGGAATTGGGCTGTTGATGTGTGTTAATAATACGAAATAAGGCCCATTGACTTAAATCTCATATACAGCCCAACCATGTCGTGTATAGATAATAAAGCCCACTTAAGACCCACACACACGCCACATTCTTGTGAGCTTGAGACCTCTGATGTGCTGGTGTGCCTTCTTTATTTCTTCTGAATTCTAGCTTCTTCTTTATTTGTTTCAAAAAAAGCTTCTTCTTTATTTGCTGCTGTAGTTTTTTTTTTTTAACTTATTTACTGCTGTAATTTGGCGGGTGTTTTCACCGTAATCGTTTGATGTGTGTTAATAGAATGCCAAGTAGCGTAGTTTTTATATTCATCGTGCATGTGGGACCAGGGCCGGCTCAACATTTGTTTGGGCCCCTGGGCAAAAAAATTTTTTTTACTTTTAATGTTTATATTTATTAAAAAATAAAATATTTTTTAAAATTTTTAACATCAATATCTTTAAAAAGTTTGTTATGAAAATAAATTATGTATATGTAAAATATTTTAGGGCCCCTATTCAACTAAAATTTATAAATATTTAAAATTTTCTATATAAAAATATGTATATATAAAAAATATTGGACTCCTTAATTAGTAAAATCGGGGGGACACGGGTTTGGACCCAGGGCGATCGCACCGTTTGTCCCCCTCGTAAGCCGGCCCTGTGTGGGACAGCCATGTAGAGTAGTTTTTGTATGTTGTGTGTATTAGTACAAGACAAGATGCTTATACGAATATTCAATGGAATCTATTTCCGATACCGTATATATCAAGTTTTGTTCTCTTTTGTTATTTCTTGCCATTTTCAAAGCAGATAATAATAAAATAAAAAAATATATATTAGGTTGTCTTGGCGTATTGGTATTAGTTTAGAATGTTATTTAGATCTTCAAGTAATTGGACAATCAAAGTAATAATGCTGGCTAATGATTTGACATACGTAACGAATAGTATCGACCACATCATAACAAAGTTAGATGTTTCTCTTACGTTATTTTGATTTATAGTACTCCATACTTATAATGATCATCGTTAACATTTCACGTATCAATAAAAAATGTCAATAATTAACAAATCAATCATATGTTTTTTTGTTTTTGCTAAGCAAAACAATCATATGGTGTTAAAAAAAAAGAAGCAAAAATCATAGTATTTAATTTCTTTATCAATTTATCTGATTAAATGAGAATTAAAGGTGCTGAGTGTTCAAAGGAAGAAAAAAAGAGAATTGAAGTTGGTGCGCAGGATTCATCAAAAGAAAATCAGACATGAGCTAAAATGATTAAATTGGTCTCTCAACAAATATCATGGAGTCAGCCAAGTTGTGTGGGACATGTGCTTAAATTAATAATTCAAATCACCTAAATAAATATCAAGATCAATTAATGTGACTATAAGCCATATGTATTGTGGCTGGTTCCCCCCCCCCCCAAACAATTTGTCTCATTAGTAACTAGCAGCATCTAAATCATTGTAAAGGCTATAAACCCAAGTTGGAACTAAGTTATAAAAATATCAAAAACCTTAACCACAAAACTGTTCATATGAACCGTTCCTTCAACATGATCATCAACTTCAGTCACCATCAACAAAATAAAAAAAATAAATAAAAATACATTTTCCAGATCCAGAAAAAAAGTTTTATTTATAAAAAAAAAAGGAGAAATTATTAAAATATTTTATAAAATAAAGAAGTCTTGACAAGACATAACCGAATTGAAGCATATGCTGAAAAAAGTTTTAAAAGGATGCTCTTATTATCTATCTGTCTCTGCCTCACAAAGCGGATATCCTTTTCATTTACACATTCGTCTTCTTCAGATTCCTTCTCCCCACACAAAGAAAAAGAAAAGAAAAGAAAAATCTCATCTTTTCCATCTGACGTTGCTGTTTTAATCTGTTTTACGACACCCAAATCGTCAAAAAAATTATTAAATTAATAAAAGGACGATGAACATTTCTTCTTCTTCTTCTTCTCTCTCTATAAATCTCTATCAAACTCATCCACCTTTTCTTCCTAGCACGACCACAAACACTTGTTCTTCTTCCTTTTCCTCTGCAACTAGTTGTTCCCCAAGGTGTTCCTTTTCTAGCTCCCCTGTTTCCCTCGGTGCTTTGCGTCCCCGGAGATCACCCAATAGCTTGATTCGCAAGAAAAATCAAAGTTTACTCGCCGGACTTGAGGTGGTTTCTGCTTCTTCTGGGTCTAACGAGGATATGACTATTACTGACGTTAGGGAAGGTGAGGAATCGGAGATCGAGGCTCCGCTCCTCGACCCCGAGTCCTACTCCAAGCCTAGGAGAATTGCTCTCTTCGTTGAGCCTTCTCCTTTTGCGTAAGTGTCTTTGATCTTTCTTTTATTCAGACAGTGCTGTCTTGTCTGTTTTCTGTTCGACGAAATGTCTCTGTGAAAATTGGAATATCTTCGTACAGATGATCATTTCTTTACTGAGTTGACTTTCCTGTAATCATTAGTATGTAGATTCATACTCGAAGCTGACTTTTGTAGTACTAGATTTATGAACTTTTACTAATTATATGTAATTCCTTCTTAAATAATTGAAATCTATTGATCATAACATCTCATTCTCGTCTAATTAAAAAAGTTGATCTTCTCTCCATTTTGCAGATATGTCTCAGGATACAAAAACAGATTCCAGAACTTCATTAGGTATCTACGTGAAATGGGAGACGAGGTTTGTTCTTTTTTTTTTCAATTTAATTCTTCAATCAAAGTATTGTCTCAGTGAGCTTAGTAACTCTTTCAGAATAATAATTACCTGAAAAAGGGTGAAAGCTGCTCTCTTTTTTAGAAAAAAAATCTGATTAAAACTGTTTTGGGTTCATAGGTTATAGTCGTGACGACACATGAAGGTGTTCCCGAAGAGTTTTATGGAGCCAAAGTCATTGGATCTAGAAGGTACCAAACATTTAGATATATTAACACTCTAAAACACTCAATGGAATTTGGTAACATTGCTAATTTCTTCATCTCTCCTGCAGCTTCCCTTGCCCTTACTACCAGAAGGTTCCTCTCTCGCTTGCGCTTAGTCCAAGAATTATCTCCGAAATTGCTCGGTTTAAGCCTGACATTATACACGCTTCCTCTCCTGGAATTATGGTAATAATAGTCTTTGAGAATCTGCAACATTAACAAAATAGTGAAGTTGAGAATCCACAATTGATTTAATTTTTCAGGTTTTTGGTGCTCTTGCAATAGCAAAGATGTTATCTGTTCCGATAGTAATGTCTTACCACACACACGTCCCTGTGTAAGCTTCTTATCTGCCTCCCTTCAGTTGAATTACTTCCCGGACGTTATCTGTTTATATAACTCTGCAACTATCAAAGATGTTTCTAAAGATTAAGCTTTGTGTTGATGTGCAGTTACATCCCAAGATACACTTTTAGTTGGTTGGTCCAACCAATGTGGTCAATAATAAGTATGTATACTCTGTTTTCTCAAATGTCTAACTTTTTCGTTCCGGTCATTGTCAAGTACTAAACATGAATAAGCTTGTCTTTATTCAGGATTTCTTCACCGAGCGGCTGATCTTACATTAGTTCCTTCCGCAGCCATTGGAAAAGATCTTGTAGCAGCTGGTGCAACTGCAGGTGAATATAACAGATTAAAACACGTCACACTAATTATACAACCGTTCTGATTGTTTAAAACTAATCTTTTCTTCCTATTTTGAAGCTAATCAACTTCGACTATGGAATAAGGGTGTCGATTCAGAAAGCTTTAATCCCCGTTTCCGTTCTCAAGAAATGCGTATAAGACTGAGGCAAGAATAGTCTCTGCTTTTTCTTTAATATGGATTAAGAACATGGATACTTTTGGTGTTAATTTTAATGCTCTGTGATTGATTTAACAGTAATGGTGAACCAGAAAAGCCTCTAGTGATCCATGTAGGACGTATTGGCGTAGAAAAGAGTTTGGAGCTTCTAAAAAGGTTAGGTTTTAATTTCTAGCTTTACACTGGACTCACGTCTTTTAGGTGGTGGTAATGTGTATCAAAATTTGAAAGAAACAAAAATTGAATGTACAGTGTAATGGACAAGTTGCCTGAAGCTCGGATTGCTTTTATTGGAGATGGGCCATACAGGTACTAATTTTGTTAATAACTAACTGGCCCTACTGTTTTCCAAAAGAGTTTTAAGGCATCATTGATGTAACATTACTTTATCTGTTTGGTTTTATTATTAAAAGAGAGGATCTAGAGAAGTTGTTCGCCGGAATGCCAGCTGTTTTCACGGGAATGTTATCAGGTGAGGAACTCTCACAAGCTTACGCAAGCGGAGATGTATTTGTGATGCCATCAGAGTCAGAGACGCTTGGCCTTGTGGTTCTTGAGGCAATGGCTTCAGGACTTCCCGTTGTTGCGGCTCGAGCTGGTGGAATCCCTGATATCATCCCTGAAGAACAGGTCAGTTTGATCTTATACAATTAACTGCAAGTTCATGATCTTGCAGTGATGGTTCTATAAGGCCAAACCAAAGTAGATTACTTGTACTTGATATAAATTGGAGCTAAAGAGTGTTACTGATTGCGATGTTATATTTTAGGAGGGCAAAACCGGGTTCTTATTCAACCCTGGAGATGTGGAAGACTGCGTGACGAAGCTCAAAGCCTTATTGGAGGACAGTGAGACAAGAGAAATCATTGGAAAAGCTGCGAGAGAAGAGACGGAGAAGTATGATTGGAGAGCAGCAACGACGAAGATACGCAATGAACAGTACGGAGCGGCGATATGGTTCTGGAGGAAGAAGAAAGCTCAGGTTCTTGGACCTATCAATTGGTTGGTTAAACGACTCTTCCCTGTGCCTCCCGAAGTTAACGCCTAGGAGCTGAAGCAATCAAACAATGTGGATTTGCTTGAAATGATGTTACTTTGGTTAATGGTGTTTTATCTTCTCATACTTTGATTACTTACGTGTTTATGCCAAACTTGACGTTGTAAAATGTGTCATCTGGGTGGGTGGGGGGTTTAAAACCTGGTGTGGACTGGCTTTTAGGGTTTTTATATTTTCACATCACCTACTTGTGTTTTTCATGTACTATATTATTTTGTTTTTTTTTTGTTTGTATAAAAATGGTTAGCAGCTTGTTTAATGTTTCTGTCTTGCTGTTTTGTAACTAGTAGTGGTTGACAAGATACATCTTACTTAATAATAATAACTAAAACCTTCAAATGTTTAAAAGTCACAAACATGAAAATGTTAAAAGAAACAAAGGAGACATGGTAGCTCTCTTGTGAAAAGAGTGGACAATAATGTGGATCTTTGGCAGATCAACTTAGGAGGATTGACAATCACTGACTTTCTGTTTCTTCCTTTGGCTTCTTCGAAGTTGTGGTGTTTCACAAACTGGTTCTGCCTTCTTTGCAATAAAATCACCTAAGGCAGTGCTTAAAGCACATGAAGTCGTCACCAATGAAGCTCTCAACAGATCCACAGCCTGTTTCTTAGACACATCATAAGTTCCCATTCTAACAAGTGCAGAAGAACAATAAAAAAAAGCGGATTAAACTAAAGCATAACATACCTCTGCTTTGCTGATGCCGATTTCTTGGACATCAACATCTTCTGCGTTAGTCTGCAACTTCTTCAGCAAGCAAACAGGAGCTCATGGGCGTAATGACCAGATCATCAGACACCGTAAACTTTGTCTCTTTCTTCAAGAACCCGGAACAAAGATCGTTCCCATGGGATTTTGGATCCACTAAAGTCACAGGCACAAGTTTGTCATTACGAAAATAAGGAATCTTATTTGAGTCTCTAGTCAAGGCATATATTGGAGCTGGTCTGTTGAAAGAGGAATATACGTAGCGGTAGTAAACAAGTGGTTGGAGAGTGATGATACCAGGCAACTCCACCTTGAAACTATAAAAACAAGGGAGAACAACGCCTACTTTGGAATCTTTCGTTTCTTGATTAACACGCAAGCCCTTGAAGCTTCTGAACAAGTTTGCTAAGCAACCTAAAGTAATACTGTTTCCAGATATCTCCCAAACAGATTCCAGTGGTACAGCAAGAAAAGACAAGAGAAGCTCAACAAAATCATCTCCGCAGTCAACAAATAAAATCTTCATATCCTTCTTCCTAACCACTGCATTTATAGTTAATAATAATACCTTCTCTGGTTCAACTTCATCTTTCTTGCTCTCCATACATGGCCTTATCGTTTCATAAGACTTTGTCACACCTGGTAGATCCAGATCAAGACAAAACTATGAGGAGATCTCTTATACACTAATTAAATAAATAAACAGAGAGGAAATGAAGTGAGATATTACTTCTTTGGAACCAATACCAACAACCCTTTCCTCGAGCTTACTAACATCAGCAAACCCTAAGGATTTAAGCCTTTCCAAGACAAGACCAGTGGACTTAACAGACACTTCCATATCATCAGTTATGATGAATGTAGTAGAGGCACCACCGCTGACAAACACTCCATTTTGCATGTTATCTTCTGCAGCTTTTACTTGTGATTCATCATAAATCTCCTCCTTCATCAAGTTTCCACATCGACGACATCGACTAGTGCTGAAGTTACTGCACAGCCTACAGTTCGAGAAACTCGAACACTTAAAGAACCTCTCTCCCTCGGTAGGATTTATGTTAACCTTAAGCCTTTGGCACTGGACATCTCTGACACTCTTCGGATAAAGGAGCATTCTCTTACAGGCTTCACTTCGAAAATTATCAATTCTCATATCCACAACACTTGCATTCTCTTACACTTGCATTCTCCTTCTGGCTGGGTTCACTACGCACTGGGACAACATCACTGCTATCTTGCTTGACCGCTCAAGACCAGTGGACCAGCTATATCTCTTGAGATATGCTTTCCAAATTGCAGTCTATACACTGTGGCGGGAAAGAAATAATCGACGGCATGGAACTACTCCTTCCACTCCAGAATTGATGACAAAGATAATTGATCGCAAGATACGTAACCAGTGTCTCATTATTTCAGCTCATAACCGAAGGAAGCATAGTGGGCTACTCCAGGCTTGGCTCGCTACTCGTATCTAGTTTAGATATAATCCAGTCATTCCAATTCTTTCAAAAACAGTAGCTTTGTCTGTAAAAAAGTGTTTTTCTGAATAAATTTTACATATTATTCAAAAAAAAAAAAAAAAAAAAAAAAAAAAAAAA